CTGTCTTACTGATGGAGAAGATATTAGATTGATAAGAAGGTACTGATCCTTTCTTTCACACCACTGAAAAGAGACAACTTAGAGCTGGTCAAACTATGAGGGGATGAGGGGAGAATTTCAGAAATTTTGAAGTCGTTTTCAGTCTGCATGTTTTCCACATTTGAGATTTTTTTCCCCTCCATTTCAGCCCCTCTTCCCCCGCTCACGTTTATTCCTTCTCACTGAAAATGGGTCAGAGTAAAAATGAAAATCGGGGAGGGGGGGGAGAAGAGAGACAGTGCACTAAAATTCTTCATTTTCCAATTTCATTAGAAATACTGAAGATTCCTAAAAACATTTATTGGCCTATTTTGAAAAAAAAAATAGGCCATTTCATCCCATGAAAAAATTTTGGTTCAAAATCCTCACTGAGCAGACATCAGAGCAGAAGCCCAGCAATTCCTATTGAAAGGGTGGCTTGGGGCGAAAAAAAGATAACAAGTGTGTTAGAGCAGTCTGGCCTGGCATGCCCCCTTCTCCACATTGCAGCATGACATGCACACCTACCTCAATTTCCCCTTGCAAAATCCCTAGTAAATCCACTTCAGGCTGTCTTGCCTGAATAATACCCCTCCCTGGGGTCAGTGTATCACCAAAATACAGTTCATTAAATTCCTGACAGAAGTTCCAAACAGTCTATTTCACACATCCAGTGTATAAAGTCCTTAAACCCCTTCTCAGAGTGCATCCCCACCACTCTCTCTGCTGGGAGTTCTTCCATACCACACTCCAGTATCTTCCACCACACCTAGGCGCCTTATCTGTCCTCTTCTTCTGTTGCTCTGCCAGGGCAGCCACTTCAGCCCATTCAGCTGGAGTGCAATTCCGCTCTTCCCAGCGGGAACCCCTTCCACCTCTCTGCTGGGAGATCATCTTTACCAGGGGGAGAATCCCTCACTCCCTCTGGCCTTCTCACTGTTCCTCTGAGCCCAGCTTACTGGTGTGGAAATATCAGTGGGTGAGCCCCTCTGCTGCTCCCCTGCTTTCAGCCCTCTCCAGCCCTTGGCTCCAGCTCTCCACCTTTGAGACAGCAGGCATCTCCCTCTGCTGCTCTTTCTGCCATCAGCCCTCTCATATCCTCCAGCCCCTGACTTTCTGGCTTGGGGAAATCAGCCAACAAACCCTTTGGCTTCCTTCTGGGACTTTCCACAGACCTCTGGTTCCTGGCAGCTCTCATCTGTCCCTGATGCCCAGTCAGACAGCTTGGGTTCCGCAGGTCTCTTTCTCCCACACTGAGTCTTGCCCCTCAGATTCTCTCTAGTCCTGTATAGCCCCCCCGCCCCCCCCAATGTGCTGCCCAGACCTCTTAAATGATCAAATGGGAGCTCCTGTTCTAGCACAGGGGAAATGGACTTACTTAATTTATTTCATGTCATCCTGTGACAGAGTGACATGAAAATATGCAGAAAAAATCCCACCCCCCCAACCTCACAATACTCCTTGTCAAAACAATTTGTTTTTTTTGGCAAATATCTATATTAATTTAATATACTATTTTTCTTGTAAATCTAAGTTTCCCCGTTCAGTTATGTCTGAAATAAAAAATGTCATTAAGTAGCCTATTTATGTAGTGGAATTTCTTAAGGCCAACTATATGCAACTCTGAACTATTTTTTGTCTGATAACACTTTTTTTTTTTTAAAATCTCTTATTACAAGCACATTTTGCAAAGGAATCCAAGCTGGGATGTTGGCCTCCTTTCTGCGTTGATTAATGCTAAACATTTTCTTATGAAAAAGTCACTGTGTTAAAAGCTTTAGCTAGAGCTATGGAAAATACACAAATACAAAAATCCTTTTCATAACCTTCTCAGTGCACTCAGTACTGATGGGCAATACATTCACTATTGCAGGCAATGGCCTCTCAAATACAGGCTGACAAATGGGTGGTGATTATGCGATATTAATAGATCATCTTTTAATGACCCAACCAGGTGGCCCTTACAGAGATTTGAACTGCTGTAGACTTGGGATGCTCAGAACACATTTCCCAGGCCAGTTGTAATCTCCATTAACCTAGTGTGGGTCTTTGTTTCCCTCTTGTCTAATCCTGCCAAGAAGGGTAGTTTTTCAGTCCTATTTTGAGGTTTGAAGAGAACCACCATGCAGTCATATGACAGGATTTAAAGAAATTGTTCTGTGTGTCACATCAGAAGGGTAACAATTTCTTCCAATACCATACGAGTTCTCTAAAAGATTGCTCACAGGATTACTCTAATCATTCATCTCTCGCATGGAACTAACTTAAAGGCTTTAATGATTACTCTGTGTACCCAGGTTCTGGGAAATTATTAATTGGAGTCTTATTCCATTTGACTTCTTCAGAGCTCATATTCCAGGTAGCAATTACTTTACTGAAGCTTCTGCATTTCATGGTAAAGAGGCTATTGGTTGGCTTTAATCACTAAGGAAATAAAGGCTGGTTCCAAATAGTTAGGGTTACTGACATTTTAAAACCGTAGTAATTAAGCTATCTGGATTGTTTGGCAAGCTAGGCTCAAGCAAACAATATCTACTTGAATATGGCCAAATGTAAATTCATGCATCTGGGAACAAAGCATATAGGCTGTACATACAGGATGGGGGGCTTTGAAAAGGACTTGGGATTCACGATGGATAATTAACTGACAGTGAGCTCCCAGTGCAACATTAGGACCAAAAAGGCTAATGAAATCCTTAGATGTATGAACAAGGGAACATCAAGTAAGAGGAGGGGGTTACATTACCCCTGTAACTGGCACTGAAGTGGCCACTGCTGGAATAATGTGTTCAGTTCCACAATTCAAGAAGAAGTTGATAAATTAGAGAAAGTTCAGAGAAGAGTCATGAGAACCACTAAAGGATTAAGAAAGCATACACTCGAGTAGCTCAATCTGTTTAGCTTAACAAAGAGAAGGTTAAGGAGTGATTTGGTCACAGTCTGTAGATATCTACTTGGGGAATTAAATTTGATAGAGGACTTCTCAGTCTAGCAGACTAAGGTATAAGATGATTCAATGGCTGCAAATTGAAGTTAGACAAATAAGGAATGGAAATAAGGTGTAAAGTTTTTTAACAGTGAGGGACCATAGGAACAATTTACCAAGGGTAATGGTGAATCCTCTATTGCTAGACATTTTAAAATCAAGATTTAGGGGGAAAAAGATCAAAAAGATATACTACAGTGAAATCCTATGGTGCAGTTTAGAGGAGGTCAGGCTAGATGAATATCACAAGAGACCCTCGTGGCTTTATAATATATCAAAATGTGTTCTGTTGCTTTAAGAGTGAATTGCGCTCTCTCATTACAGGAAAAAGTCTCATGGTCATTCATCTTGTGTTGTTCTCCTGGCAAACTAGTTTTAAAATCACCCACCATGATTATTGCCCTAAAGGGAAGAACTAGTAGGATCAACCAAATCATATTAAACATTACGTTTTGTGGATTATCACCCACATTCAACTCATTGACCAGGTGCTACTGCAATCTAGGGCACTTCAGGATCACAAGGACTAAGCAGATGAAGAGCAAGATATTGACCTTGAACAACTAAGTGAAGTTTATATAGATTTACAGAATGCCTATTTGAATAGCTAAGTATTGTAGCCCAGTGGGCTAGTTTGCCTTTATAATATTCAAGGCTTTGCATTATATTCAGCAGTATGCCTGTGTCCTGTAAGATATTAGCTACAGCAAGTTAGCATAAGGCTTGACACCTATGAACTTTGAACAGATAAACGTTGCATAGATAAACGGCCCAATGGAAAACCCAAGTATATGGGGAGCTGAAATAGAGTTTAAGGGGAAGTTCTAACCACAGGTACATAATTCAACCACAGAAGTGTCCCAGCAATGAACTGATGTACAAAACAGGTACATGAGATACATCTAAGGCTAGCCTGCTTGCTTGCCATATATAAGTTTCTTACGGATTTGATTATTTGTTTTATTATAATAGGTTTATATTAGAGTATATTTTGGCAGTAACACAAGGGACCTGCAGGCAATATCCTGTATGTTGAGCTAAGGCAAAGTTAGCACACATATGTTTGGGACCTTTCACCTAGTTAGATGGTGAGGGGTTAAAGCATAAGATCCGTGTATGGTTGTGACCTTTAACAAAGAGGATGTGTTAAAGCAGGTTGGCATAGGGGCTTTCCTAAGTTCATACTCTTTTAAGCTTAACAGGTACACCACAACCCAGTGGAGGACAGAAATAACAAATGTGATACCTAAATCACAAAAGGCCATGGTAATGAACTGATGCATATGATAATAAGTTGAGATCATTGATATACTAACCTACAGGAAAAAGACACTCCCACATTAGTAAAGTGAGGAAATACAAATAAGGAAAAGAGGGAAAATCCCTTACTGAATATGCATCAAACATAGTGGCGTCAGCGTAACATATTATAAAAGTGGCATCCCAGCCTACGGGGTGGTAGGAGAGAGAGATGTAGTCCTTGGGAGGTGCCAGAATGATGGCCACTGGTGATAATGGGGAAGGTGATGGTGAGGAGGAAGACGATGGCAATCATTTCAGGTTGTTCTACAAGGGATGGTGGGAGTATATGGATGTGCAGATGTACATTCTGTAGGATCTCTATCTTATTAAGCTGGGGTGTTTGTGATTGTGCTAAATGTATTAATAAACTATATTTGTAAATCGAAAAGAGTTTTTATAGTGTGAGAGTGTTGCAACTGTGCACATTGGGGTTCCCAACTATATAATAATTTGAATAATACTGGGCCTGATCTTGGAACAAGTACCTGTCTACCCGGAGAGTGATAACTGGAGATTCTTAAGTATTCAATAATACATAATCTAAAGATCAGGCAACAGTACTGAACAAAATTTAAAACTTCATGTCATCTTCAACGTTCAAATGTAACAGGTGTTTCTTTTTTGGTAGCAGTCACTGCTATAGGATCACCATCTGATGACTGGTTCTTGGTATTTCTTAGTAAGAAACACTTACCTCACTGTTGTTGGTGTATCTCCAGAATGCAGTCTGTATCAGTGCACAGAAAACAATGGCAAAACAGAAGAATCCCTGAAGACAGAGAGAAAGCACTGTTACTTGCAGCATTTCCTCTTCAGGGGCTGAAAACATTTATGTGAAAACACCGTAGGAGAATAGTTAATTATATTGGCTTTGGCAGGTTTAATGCAAGTCACAGTTAAAAGTTAACTTCTTTTAAACAACCTTCAAAATTTCAATCACTTAAAGGAAGCCAGCTTCACAATAGTTTTAAAATTCCCTGGCAGGGACCATAACTACACAGTGGCCTTTTAAGGATGTTCAGCAGAAGAGCATGTTGTGTACAATAGAGTTGCTAACCTATTGCTTCAGGTTCTACAAAGAAAAATGTGAAATTAAGAAATTAGATTTAAAATGTGGTTCTATTCTGAAGTGAGACTATGTGAAAAACTGCACCTTCCTACTCAAGAGATCCAAACTCCCTGTGTGTTCAGAGCCTGTCCGCTCAGTAGAGAGAGAAAAATATTACCATTTTTTTGGCTCAATAACACAGCAGAGCCAACAGCTATGAGAGAGTGAGCTGAATTCTACTCTGGCTTGTGCTTCAGAGTTGTTAACTAAGTTCCAACTGCAAAGCCAAGCTGATTCTTACTGACTCCAGTGGGGGTTGTGCAGGTGTAGGACTGCACAGATGTAATCAAGGTCAGAAACTGACCCTGAATAGTATGGCTAGTGATAAGGATGAAGAAGTCAGAAAGAATGCAGGCTGACTTTCCTATTCTTGGTGAAGTTTCCAGGACTGGCTGTTAGAAAAGCCATCTCTTTAGTTGCAGAAAACAAAACAAACATTTTATCTGGAGATTGAGTGAAAGGTGGGATGCCTGTCATGAGGATGAGACCAGTAGATCCTGCTTACCTAAACGAAACATGACAGTAAAATGTTTAAAGGCCCATGGATCCTGAAGTTGAATCCAGAATTTTATTGAAAACTAACATTTTGTGAAAAATTGTCAACATTTTAAATATTTCTACTCTTTTTTAGAAATTTTTCTATGGCTTCATTAAATGGATGCTTTAACTGAAATGTTATAAAAGAATGAAAATTGTATGGCGGGCCATGAATGCTCACAAATTTGGGGGTTGGGGTGTGGGAGGGGATGAGGGCTCTGGCTAGGGGTGCCGGCTCTGCGGTGGGGCCCAGAAATGAGGAGTTCAGGATACGGGAGGGTACTCTGGGCTGGGACCGAGGGGTTCAGAGGGCAGGAAGAGGGTCAGGGCTGGGGCATGGGAGAAGGTCAGGGGTGCAGGCTCCGGGTGGCGCTTACCTCAAGCAGCTCCCAGAAGCAGCGGCATGTCCCCCCTCTGGCTCCTACGCGGAGGCACAGCCAGGTGGCTCTGCACCCCGCCTGGTCTGGAGGTACCGCCCCTGCAGCTCCCATTGGCCATGGTTTCTGGCCAATAGGAGCTGCGGGGGCAGTGCTTGGGACGGGGGCAGCATGCAGAGCCCCCTGGCTGCCCTTACGCATAGGAGCTGGAAGGGGGACATGCTGCTGCTTCCGGGAACCGCGTGGAGTGGGACAAGCCCCTGACCCCGCTCCCCGGCTGGAGCGCCACAGCAGGGCAAGCCCCGGACCCCGCTCCCTGGCGGGCGCTTGAGGGCCAAATTAAAATGTCTGTAGGGCCGGATGTGGCCCTCAGGCCGTAGTTTGCTCACCCCTGCTTTAAACCATGATTTGAGGACATCAGTAACTCAGCCAGAGGTTATGGGTCTATTACAAGAGTGGGTGGATGAGATTTTTGTGGCCTGCAATGTGCAGGAGGTCAGACTAGAGATGATCATGATGGTCCCTTCTGACCTTAGAGTTTATGAGTCTGAGAAAAAGGTTGAAAATGCACACTATTACTGACAATATTTCAGGCTCTCCAGGGCAACTATCTGACACCATGGATTGTGAGGTCACAGTGTCCAATAAGCAGCTGAACTATTATAACACACCACACTTCCAAAGCCTAAAACTAGAAGGCAAGTAGACAGAAATGCTGCCAGGTGTCAATACAAAGAACTATGCAATGTGATAGCTTAGGCCTCGTCTACACTACGAGTTTAGGTCGAATTTAGCAGCATTAAATCGAATTAAGCCTGGACACGTTCACACGACGAAGCCCTTTCTTTCGACTTAAGGGTCCCTTTAAACCGGTTTCTTTACTCCACCTCCGATGAGGGGATTAGCGATAAAATCAGCCTTAGCGGGTCGGAACTGGGGTAGAGTGGACGGAATTCGACGTTATTGATCTCCGGGAGCTATCCCACAGTGCTTCATTGTAACCGCTCTGGACAGCGCTCTCAACTCAGATGCACTGACCAGGTAGACAGGAAAAGCCTCGAATGTTTGAATTTCATTTCCTGTTTGCCCAGCGTGGAGAGCACAGGTGACCACGCAGAGCTCATTAGCACAGGTAACTGTGATGGAGTCCCAGGATCGCAAAAGAGCTCCAGCATGGACCGAACGGGAGGTACGGGATCTGCTCGCCATATGGGGAGAAGAATCAGTGCTAGCTGAACTCCGTAGCAGTAAAAGAAATGGCAAAATATTAGAAAAGGTCTCCAAGTCAATGAAGGACAGAGGCCATAACAGGGACGCACAGCAGTGCCGCGTGAAAATTAAGGAGCTAAGGCAAGCCTACCACAAAGCCAGAGAGGCAAATGGAAGGTCCGGGGCACAGCCACAAACATGCCGCTTCTACACGGAGCTGCATGCCATGCTAGGGGGTGCAGCCACCACTACCCCAACTGTGTGCTATGACTCCTTCACTGGAGAAACACACAGGGAAGAGGGTTCGAGGTACAAGGAAGAGGAGGATGAAGATAATGTGGATAGCTCACAGCAGCAAGGAAGCGGAGAAACCGGTTTCCCCAACAGCCAGGATATGTTTATCACCCTGGACCTGGAGACAGT